CTCTCTCTCTTTTTCTGTGTGTGTTTTACCAGTAGAAGGAGCCTGGGGATATAAATGTAAAAGGCACCCAGTTGAGTTGGAGGGGGAGGGGGTTAAGGCTGGCGAAGCGGGTCGAGAGCGCGCTTTCTCTCCTCTTTGTCGTTTAAATGAATTTGGAGGAATTGGAGCTCAGGCGGCGCCCGGCCTCTAGGGGGAGCCGGAGAGCGAGCGGGAGCAATGGCGCCCTCCGCCGGCAGGGGGCGCGCGCGCGCGCGCATTTCCCTCTCCCTCCAAGGCTGCCTGTTCTACACTGCAGAAAGAAAGGCAGTTCGATCCCACTTTTCAGGGCTCTGGCTTAGCTCCATCCTGTAACATCCTGGGATTTGTAGTTTGACAAGGTCCTTCAGCCTTCTCTATCTACCCAAGGGGGCCAGTGCCTCTCCAAAATGTTTTAATGCGTTTTAAACATTTTTTTTTTAAAAAAAACTTTTAAAACTGTAGTATTTGATATTTTAACATGCAGTTTATTTTAATATTGTAGTCATTTAATTCTGCTATTTTTCTGTGTTTGAGTTCTACTTTTTTTAAAAAAAATGTTGTAAGCCACCCTGAGTCCCTATTCTGGGAGAAGGGCAGGATATTAATCATCATCATCATCATCATCATCATCATCATCTCAGGATTCTGGAGGATGCAGCCATGGCCACAATTAAAAGGGGTGTCAAACTGCATTATTTCTGCAGTGTAGATGCACCCCAGGAGCAACTGACTGGGAGGGTAACTTTGGGGCACTACTTAGGATTGATGGTGGCTGTTTTAAAAAGATCTGGAGTGCATCAGGAGCAGGAGAAGGGGTGGCGAGCCTTAAATGAGGGAGGTTTGTCCTGATGTGGAGGCTGTGAGATCTGGTGTGGAATGGGAAGGGTTTCCTTTCCTTTCCTTTCCACTCCCTGCCCAGTGTTGCAGAGGGGTGCTTGCCCTCTTGGTCTTACGGTGGCCCCTGTGCCCCTGTTGGCGATGATCCTAATCCACCCGGCTGGCCTTTCTTCGTCTCCTGGTGAGATCTTAATCCGATCTTTCTTGTCTTTCTCTTTCTCAGTCCTTGCACCTGATCTCCACCGAGGCACCTCTGGGTTGGGGTCTCTCTGGGACCCCCCTTTGGCCTCTTATTATTTCCAGCGGAATTGCGCCTTCTGCTCCTGGTCAACCTCTCTGGGGGTGTGAGTGTGAGATGTGCATTTCTCACTGTGAATGATTGGATCAAGGGGCAAAGCAACTACTTTCCTTCCTTATACTTACACACAGACCTATCTCCAGCTTCTTTCAATGATGGGCAAAACAGCAATTCCAAGTAGTAGTAGTAGTAGTAGTAGTAGTTGTTGTGTGCTGTTAAGTCATTTCTGACTTATGGTGACCCTAAAGTCCTAAGCAGCAGTCATTTCCTCCCTTACATAAATATACAGACATATATACACACACACACCTATCTCCATCTCCTTGCAGTGATGGGCAAAACAGTCCTTCCAAAGAAGTTGTTGTGTGCCTTCAAGCCATTTCCAACTTATGGCGACCCTATCATGGGGTTTTCTTGGCAAGGTTTGTTCAGAGAAGGTTTGCCATTGCCTTCCCCTGAGGCTGAGAGAGTGTGACTTGGCCAATGTGCGTTTCCATGGCTGGGCAGGGATTGAAACCCTGGTCTCCAGAGTCACAATCCAACACTTAAACCGCTACACCACACACCCAAATTCTCTTGGGAGCTGCTGAAGATAAGCCCTTCTTTCCTTCCTTCCTTCCTTCCTTCAGCTCCTTGCTGATTTATCTCTGCAAGGCCTATCAGCAAAGTAGAAAATATGTGAGACTGATTGGATTTAAAATACACACACAACAACAACAAGACACGACTAACCTAACTTATGCTTCCCTCTTTGGGCTGACCCTTTGCTGGAGCCAAAGAGAAAGACTCCACATTTCCATCCATACATTTCTGGAAGTGAAAATCTGTTTGGAGTTTGGTGTGTGTGTGTGTGTGTGTATTTGTGTTTACCTTTCCCTATCTTCTAGGGATTTTCTTCCCTCCCTCCGGAAACTGTGACGCTTAACGCCGGGGAAGCACTAGGCTCAGCTGGCGTTTGATGCCAAAGGTAGGAGTCACAGGACTGTAAACACAGGTTCTTGGTGTTTTCTTCTTCGAAACAACCAGGTTTGCCAGTTAATGGCCTTGCGTCATGTACAACTCATCTGGTACACAACAGGCTTGAGTAACATCACTGGAATCCAACGCTCCACTGAGGTCACATCTCAGGGCGTCCTAAATGTCTGAAAATGTCTTTTTCTTTTTTCCCTGAATTGAAACTAGACAACAATGCACGACAACATGGGAGCGAAGCCTTGCTGGAGGGCAACGTCTCCCCTCTCCTTTCTCTTGATGTACGTTAGCATGTCCTAGTGTACAGTTCAACAATTTATTGGGTCACTTATGTCAGGCGCATGTACTCTGTGTTGTAGTTGTTAAAACTAATTCCTTTTGTCATGGAATTAATTAGCTGTTGACAGAGGGAGAGGGAAGAGCTTGAAGTCTGTATTCAAACCCAGATTGTATAGGCTGTGAAGTTGTGAAAGGTTTGAGTTTTGGGTTTTTTTGACAGATTTTGGACAAGTTGGGTTCGACGGCTGGTTGGAAAAGTTAAGATTAAGGCTAGATTTCCAAGAGAGTTAAGTCCACGGACTTTGAATTACTAGTAAACATTCCTTTGTTTTGGGCTGCATGGATGTGGTTGGAAGTCTTATTTTCTTGAAAATCTGATTTAAGTTTGGTGTGGTTTACTACCTATTAAGCATAATTGGCTGAAGTCAAATAATCAGTCACTGGTTAAATAGTCTTACTGTACACCTAAAGTAAGGGGAAAGCTTGAATCTACCGTATCTGTTATGAGAGGCAATATAGGTTTAAATAACATGAAGAGAAGTATAATAGAAAAGCTGTGTTTATTATGTATGTATATAGGTAAGGTT